AACTATGATATGGTAAATTCGAATCTAAAAATATAATATATATACATCATTTTTTAATATTATGAGAAATGCTAACAGACGTGAAATATCTCATATAGTTGAAAAATCCCCATCTGCTTAGTAAAAGGCCAATTCTGTCTCAAATCATAATAATGCTATGAATATTAATATTATATTTTATCAAAATAGAAAACAAAGAAAGTGATGATTTATCGACAAAAAAAAACACACATTCAACACCCACAAGAGAGAACAGAATATTCCTATCTATAAAATGATTGAAATCGAAAGTTTTGAATTTTAAATCAAATTAAGATTTGGTAATGCCTAGTCATTACTGGTTGTTGTGAGTAAAATGATACGAAATGTTTGATTACCATCCAGTTTTAAATCAAAACAGAAATATAATGATCTGCAGTTTAAAAATTTATATTGAATTCAAATATTGCATATCATGCATATTATGATTGATAAAAAAAAAGTCTAACACATGTGATTTTAATTTATTTTTTTTTTATTTTTGATAATTATGCGTACCGGTTTGAAACTATTTCACAAAAATTCATTTTTTTCTTTCTTTTTTTTTTTTTTTTTTTGAATTCCATAACACTTCCGTATTTTCTAAAAAATATAAAAACATGCATTCGAGGGGAGGCAAATTTCAGTTGATTAAGAACGAGTTGAGAATTGAAAACGGGGCACATGTGTCATGGTTGGTATGCCAATAATTTGCCAGATATAAGTACTTCATTGTTTCTTTTTTTACAGAAGTTTCTATGGGTTTGCCTAAATGTAATGATGGCTATTAATGCAAAAGAAATACCCCGCATTACCAATGATTACTTGCCGCCCTATGCCGAAGGTCCACCACCCCACAATGATTTCAATTATGATGTAGAGCTGCTACCTCCTCCCGTCACCTACCACGTTCATCATCATTGGTATTATCCAGTTCCAAGTGTGGCGTTCGAGGAATATGCTCCAGTTTCTTTTGTGGCACAAGAAGCCCAACCAACAGCTGGTACTAGTTCCTTAAAACCAACAATGATTCTAGTTGTCACTCTGATTTTGTGTCTGACATAGGAATTTGATCCGTATTTAAAATGCGTTATTTGCAAGGTACATGCAAGTATATGTTCTTAGGTGGAAATTGCATTACAAAGCTGCTGAAATTGCAGTTGTTTGCATATTGGAATTCTACCCAAATACAAAACCCTTTTTCCTGAGTATTAATCTGAAAAGTATTATGCCAATATCGGGAATACGAAAATATTTTCCCACATTAGAGGTAAAAATTTGTCTTTGCATAATGTATTCTAAATATTGGCCATCCAAGGTCGTAAAAATAGACTGTGTCATAATACATTCAGCAATTCAAATATTCTTGTTGTGCCTGTATATTTAGTTCGATGCGCATTATTTGGATGTCTAGCATTGAAAACAAATTGATATTTAAAAAGAATTTTAAACTAGTTTAACTTCTAAAGTCCAAAATAAAATGTTGCATTTATTTTTTTTTTTTCATTTGATATCAAAATAAACATTCAGTGAAATAGTCAACGATATTCCCGAATCTTCGGATAGTGGTTTTTTAGTATTTTTTAATTTTTTATGTAATGCATGAGGTAATAGTTTTACACAATGTTCAGTGTTATTGAAACCCAGTTATGGTTTGAATTAGTTTTAGTAGAATTTTTGCGACCACAACTCAGTTCTTTTAATGTACTTTCGGCCAACATTAAAAGTACCAAAAATGAGATTTTTTGACATTCATGTATTTCTAAAACAACGTTGGTCAAAATATTTTAGGTATGGTTTTTAAAGACATGAAATTGATATTTTTTATTTTGGCATTTTAGATATATAGTGTCTTTGGCAATGTCACTGATATCAATGCGAGCTTTATTATACCCTCAGTCGTATGGGTATATATCATTTAAAACTGCCAAAACGTGCCCCGTCCAAATTACGGTTTTAGATCCTTGGTCTCTTTGGACTAAATCCGTTTCAGGATATGGTGAGTCGTTCTAGGGGTGTTCGTCATTTCGTCCGTCTGTCTGTTTTGTTGGTGGCTGGTGCACGATAACCTTCGAAGAGAATATCCGATTTGATCCAAACTTGTTACATCGTAACTTAATTATCAAACATAGATCGAGTTCGGAAATGAGCAGTATCGGTTTACTCCTTCAGGTACCTCCTTCAGGTTTCCGAAAACTAGGTATTCCCTGCCTTACCCCCTGGTAAACATTACCATCGTTCTCCAATAATAAACAAACGTTGTTTTTATAAAAACAACAATAAAGGGATTAAGCCTGACAATTTTGCAACAACAAAATCCTACTGTATCCCGAACAAACAAGCCAACACTGTTCTGAAAATAATTTTTCGTATAAGGCAAGAAAGGAAAATCCAGTGCAAACTTTGCAACCTCCAATACTTGTATCAGTGCTATGTCAGTGGGAAAAATAGACATTATCGCTCGACGAAATCATGTACCTTCTCCACAAAAGCGTTAACATTTTGAATAATTATAACTCTCATAAAATGCAAAAAAAAAAACACCCGATTCTCCTCAAATTCGACACATTTCAATATTTCCATTAAGACAAGATCTGCTGTGAAGATGGAATATATCGGGTCACACCTTCTGGTACCTTCCCTACAAAGGGATAAACATTTGAATAACCAGGAAGCTTATAAAACGCGAAATGAGCATCCGATTATTTTTAAACTTGCCATATCCCAATATTTCTATCAACAAAAGACCCTGTAGGAAAATGAAATATGTCGGACCAATCTTTCTTGTACTTCCCACACAAAGGGTCAAAGCTTTGAATAATTATAAGACTTAATGTTAAACCTCAACCTCAATATTTCTACCAACACAATATCTCGTATTAGGAACGGATAAAACGGAGCACTACTTCTTGTACATTCTCCATAATGGGTCCGAATTTTGAAAAACCATGAAGCTCAAACGCGTGAATCCCAATATTTATATTAACACAATATCTGATGTGAAGGTGGGATATATCGGTCCTCTCCTTCTGGTACCTCCCCCGCATAGTCACAATATTCAATAATTATATAGGGTGAGATAAAAAAGAAATGCAACAAAGTCAAACGCTATAATTTTTATGTTTTTTTAAATTTTATTGAATAAAAGCAAAAAATATCGGAATTATCATCAATTTTTTGAATAAGTTTAGATTTGTTCGAATTGGTCACCTTTGGCACGAATTATGGCCTTCAATGAAACTGTCACACGCTGCCCGAATGTTGCTCTGCGGTGTTTTGGCCCATTCCCAGCGAAGCGTTTGCTGGAGGTGATCGACACTTTAGTATTTTTTTAGTGCCAACCTTGCATTCCAAATTACTCCAGACACAATAGTCCAACGGATTGGTATCCGAGATTTATTGGCTATTGTGCGCCAATCTTGGGTGCCGCATGCTGAGTGCGATGGTGCTGAGTTCTGTTGGAATGTCCAAGGCCTACGGCCAAAATGTTTGCGTGCCCAAAGCTTTACTACCCCCACCAGAATACTTTTGCGATAATATTCGGCATTTATTCTGATGCCACGGTCGATTAATATGAGCGGAGAGCGACCATCGGCTGTTATGGCGGTCCACACCATGTCCATGGTCGGCGCTTGTGTTTTGGTGGCCAACCGAAGGTGCACATTTTCAGCTGACCTCTTTGGCATGTTAGCACGATAATTTTGTTTGTTTACAAACTGCTGGACAACGAATGTTTTCTCATCGGATAAAACCAAATTCGGGAGTTCACCATTTTTGGCCAAGCGAAGCAACTCTTTAGCTCTTTTGAGTCAATTTTCTTTCTGTTGCGGTGTAAGTTCTTGCATTTTATGAAATTTCAATGGCTTTACCCAGAGCTCATTCTTCAATACATTTGCGAGTGTAATATTGTGATATGTTTAGCTGCCGAGCCATTTCTTTGCCACTGCGACGCGAATTTCGATCAAGTCGCTTCTTTACTTTTCGAACCATTTCTGCTCATGTTTCTGTTTTCTTCCGTCCACGTCCTTAACGTCGGGCTACGCTACCAGTATCACTGTAACGAACGATGGTCCGAGACACAAAATATTTATTCACATTTAAATGCTGGAGTGCTCTAACGATAGCCAATGGTGGTTTTCCAGCCAAATATAAAAAAATCACACTCTCCCGCTTGAATTCCATCACGAAGAACTTTTTTCTGGACAATTCTCACCAAAATGCTTTTGTACGCTTGTAAACAATATAATAAGCTGTTACCGGAATAATTTTAACAGCTGTCGGACGAGTGGCTTTGAAATGACAGTTGGTTGGAGTTTTTTCATCCCACACTGTATTTGAACCGATTTTCACCAAATTTAATTTACTTCTAGACTAAATTCGGTTGGATATGCCATTTGGTGCACAATTAACCCGAAATCGGTTGAGGATATATGGGAGCTATATATAAATCTGAACCTTTTATCTCCAGTTTCAATAGGGTTCGTCCTTGGGACAAACAAATGTTGTTTGAAAATTTTTATCTCATTCGGATAAATAATGCGACCTGGATTTTGTTCACAAGAATACATGGACGGACGGAGTGGACGACGGGCTGACATGCATAAATCGACTCAGAAAGTGATCCTATGAAGATATCCACGGTCTTCTCCATGTTACAAACAAATACACAAAGACATAATACCTTTAGCTCTATATGGTTTAGGTTTTCTGTTTGCCCCTCAGGACCGTTCATCTCTGAAAAAAATTCACCGAGTTATTCGGTCGGAACACATTATCGGCATGAGGTGCGTGAATGCGGAGTTAGAACACTGTATAATGTTAATGTTAAATAAGAGTAGAGACGAGAGAACGAGATATGTTTATTTGCGCTGATAACAGTTGTTCTTAATGTTTATGGTATGAAAAGTTGTTTCAACTATTAGAAAGTCATGTTAGTCATTTAAATATTAAAACTAGCAGAATATAGACGCGTTTATCAGGCAATGGTCAGTATTGAGGTTTGTCGGTCCTCTTATTAGGAAGTTTTTTGATTTATTTCCTTTCTATTGCAGACATTTAATTTAGTTTTCTTCATTTCGCTGGCATTTGTTGCAACTGGCGATCGAATACCCAATGAATATCCAGTAGCATCTAATAATTATGGAGCTGTCGGTAGGGGTTTTACGCCAGCAGGCCAGTATGTCATTTTGCCAGTAGCGAATGCAGCATACACAAATTCTGGCGGTGTCGCATATGCTGTTGTTGGTGGCTATAATTATGGTGCATCTGTCCCCAATTATAGAATTTCAGCATCCAATCCTATTCCAGTTTATGTAGCTCCTGATTTGCAATATGCTCCAGCATTCGCATCGACAAATTCCCAATACGCCCTAGCTGCTAGTTCTCAATTTATACGAAACGGTTTACAGTTTGCTGCCTCCAACACAAATGCACAATATGCAACACCGGGTCTTCAATATTTTGCCCCTGGTTCACAATATTCTTTACCAAATTCCGCCTATAACCCAGGAGGCTTTGTTGCACCTCTCATTCCAGCTTCAAATTATGCCTTATCGCCAATATCATCTGCTACAAATAATTATCATCCTTTGCCTTCTCAACCTATTTACAGTGGACCAGGTTTGAATGAAAATATTTACAGAGTACCTAATACTGTTAATGCCGGATCGCAACCATTGCCTGTCTACCCTACTGGGCAATATCAGGGCTATTCAGGTGTTATTGGTGCCAGCAATACTAATCCTATTCAAGTACCAGCTGGGACCAGTTCAACATCTTTTACCAATACAAACCCTGTTGTCAGCACTACCACCACTGCAAGTGCCACATCAACGCTACACCATGGAAGTTCTGCGACCAACATTGATACAGCTTTACATGAAGACGTGCCCACTCCACCTTTTGTAACCTATTCATCTCCTGAAGAAACTGAAAAGAATTCGAAAACAGTTCCTGATTCTATTGCTGATGCTAGCAACTCGGATCCTCTGGTCACTTCAAGTTCTGAGAATTTCGCAAAATCAGCCGAACCTGAGCCTGCCCACACCTATTCCGATGAAGAGGGCTATCGTTACAAAAATCCACATCATAAATGATTTGAATGTTAGTTTTTAAACTAATCAAGCTTTCGTTGAAACTTCTATGAAGAAATACAATTAAAGAAAAAAAAAAATAACTTAAAAATTACTAATTTAAATAATTGCGATAATTTAGAACCACAAATCTCCCTTATTTTTTCAGATAAGTAATTTTTCAACCATAGTTTTATTCCAACCTACATCAGAACTTGGAGGGGATATTATAGTATGTTTGGCCATCCTCGCTATATTGGTCCTAGATCCACTTACTAATACACCCATCGCCATATAGCCTCGAGCTGAGTATTTGGACTGACTAGACGAATACACACAGTGGTAGGTCCATCAAAATCCAGGCCGCATACTAAGCGCGACAAATATATTTCCACATATTCGATCAAGTTGATTTTCTAACAAAATCTTGAAGTATGAATGATGTGACAATAATAAATTACAGGATAAATCCTTTATATCATGTAGCACACACATACAGGGTGAGATGAAAAAACTGCAACCAACTTCAGACTGCTGTCATTTCTAAGCCACTCGTCCGACAGCTGTTAAAATTATACCAATGACAGCTCATAATATTGTTTACAAGCGTACAAAAGCATTTTGGTGAGAATTTTCTAGAAAAAAGTTATTCGTGATGGAATTCAAGCGTGATAGTGTAATTTCTATATATTTGGTAATTTCTATATATAAACGGCAACATCGGCGGAAATGGTTCGAGAAGTAAAGAAGCGACTTGATCGAAACCCGCGTTGCAGTGGCTGAAAAATTGCTTGAATATATCGCTATATTTCATTCGGCAAATATTGAAAAATGATCTCGGAATAAAGCCTTTGAAATTCCAGTGAGTCCAAGAACTTACACCGCAACAGCAGAGAAAGAAAATAGACTCAAAAGAGCTAGAGTTGCTTCGCTTGGCCGAAAGTGGTGTTTAGGTGTCAGGTGAAAATGTGCACCTTCGGTTGGCCACCAGAACTCAAGCGCCGGCCATGGTGATGGTGTGGGCCGCCATAACAGCTAATGGTCGCTCTCCGCTCGTAATAATCGCATCAGAATAAATGCGGAATTATCGCGAAAATATTCTGAAGGTTGTATTAAAGCCTTGGGTACGCAAACATTTTGGCCGCAGACCTTGGATATTCCAACAGGACCCAGCACGCGCCACCCAAGAATGGTGGGTGGGGTTCCTCGCTTAATTTCCAACGCAAAAGGGCCACCAGAATCTCCGGATACCAATCCGTTGGTCTATTGTGTCTGTAGTATTTTGGTAAGCAAGGTTGGCACTAAGAAACACCTCAAACAAGCGCTTCGCCGGGAATAGGCCAAAATGCCGCAGGGCAATATTTAGGCAGCGTGTGACGGTTTCAATGACCGTTTGAAGGCTATAATTCGTGCCAAAGCTGACCAAATCAAACAAATCTTTACTTATTCTAAAATTTGATGCTATTTCCGACAGTTTTTGCTTTCATTCAATAAAATTTGAAAAACAAGTAAAAAATATGGCGTTTGACTTTGTTTTAGCTTTTTATCTCACCCTGTATGGAGACTATAACAAAACGTTTTTTGACGTATCTCATTTTCAATCCCAAAATAAACTTAAAGAAGTAAGCAAAGGCTATAATCGGGCGGGGGCCGACCATGTGATACCCTACAACACTACAATATGTTAGAAGCCCCCTTATGTCCAAATCCATTTTGGAAGATTTCGCTTTTGAAATTATTTCACGGAGCACTGCCCACATATTACCCTTAGCATTTTGACCAGGAATATTTGCCCAATATTTACGCACTTCATCGTGCTGTTAGTTGTTGTAGACTTCTTCCCTGTCCTTAACTCTCTTCTCAGGCTTGTTTATTGGCTTCAATTGTTTGATCAGGAAATTTTTTATATTTTTGGTTTATTTGAACCCCTAAATACTTTGCGATCATCTCCAAAAGTTAGAGGACTCTTATGTATCCCCAAATTTAGACTCATCTATATGATATGCTTGTCTACGATATTTGGCGATATCATGCGATCGATTATCATGCGAAAAAAAATATGAAAAAATAAAAAAAAAATCACAAAATACTACAAAATCTATATTAACATCATTTTTGACTTATTTTTATTTTGACCTCCATACTAAATTTCGTGAAGATCGGGCCATAATTGCGACAGACGGACGGACGGACATACATAGCTAGATCGACACAGCTCGGCGAGATAGGAAGATCCATATATACTTTCCTATGTGGGAAACCAATATTTCGTGGTGTTATATAATTTCTGACCCAATCAAACTTATAATACCCCCAACACATAGTGTTGTAGGGTATAAAAACTAAAACATAAATCCTTTTTTAAAGAGAAATTGATTGTAAAAGGCATGTAGAAGGAAATCTGTAAATGGTCTGAGAATTTTACATTGCTCAAAAATGTTCTCTGTAGTATACATAATTTCAATGAATCAAAAGCGGAATGACAAACATTATATATCTTCTATGTTATATATGGTGTAGGGTATAACAAATCACCAATATATACCCTAATTCCACACCCATATTTTGTTAATAACAAAAAAATCCCAAAAAATATGTCAGCAAACATGATTGCATCATAACAAGTCACTTTATGAATGACGCGTTTCAAAACTTATTTTCGAATAAGCTTATATTTGCATAATTTGTGGGTAAAAGTCAAATAAATGAAAAACAGGAATTACGCTTCTAGCGGGATTTGTGCGAAACCAGATTCCTATAAAATATAGTTTTTCAATTTTTGATAGTTTTTGAAAATAGTTGATGCCAAATGGCGGCTATCGGTATATAAGTCGTTCCACTTGAGTGAGTCAAATTTTGTCGCAAAGCATAATTTTAAGTGTTTGGGTGCATGATCAACCAACGGGTGTTTAATCTCTAGTATGGTTTGTATAATTTATTAAATAATTTAAAAAAAGGAAAATTTTATTTTTTAAATCAGTTATTATTTCTATTTTGGTTGTTACAGAGAATTGTAACCACTTTCCTGGCATTGTGCGCAGTTGTGGAAAATACACCCAATGGTGTTACATCGACGCCAATAGGAAATAGTTCGCTGGACAATTTTCTAAAATATCTGGATGTTGGTTTAACCTATGCACCATATGATGTACCAAAACACACATCGACTACACAACCTCCCACAACTTCGAAATATGACAACCCATTTGTTTTAAAGTACGCACCGGCTGCTAATCCCACCAATCAACAACCACTAACACCAGCTGTTACAAACATATCTCCTGCGGGCCACATAGTAACCATAAGATATGGCATTCCAAGTAGTCATCTTATCTACCATCATCCTTTGATTTCTCCAACTGGAAATACTGGTCTGAATGGTCTTCCTCAGGTCACAACACAATATGCACCATCAATGCCCTACTCGAATGTTGTACCCATTAATGCAGTTGGTATTCCTATCGGTGCCCCCACAGTTACAAATTATGCACCAGCCCATCGCCCTGTTGCAGTTATAGCAAACCCATATCCTCCAACAAATTTTGTTGCACCTCTACCACCACCTTTTCAATTTATACCGCATCCTGTGCCACAAAATATACAATTTCCTCAAAATGCAGTTTATTATTCAGCAGCTATTGCCCCTCAACAAGTACCGTCATCACAATACTATATTAACGGAAATCCCGGGCAACAAATACCCTATAACCCTTTACCACAAGTTCCTATATTTCATCATCCTACAAGATTTGGATACCCAGGAGTACCAATTCAATATATACAGCCACCGGCAACCACATTATTTCCACCCTCTCCCATTTATCAACAGCAATCCCAACTACCACAGGTAATTACTTATCTTGGAGTACCGAGTGCAGAACATAATAATGTTGTTCAACCTGCATTTGTAGGCACTGCACTAAGACCCTTAACCCTTTTAAAGGATTCCCAATTACCTACACAAAGAAAAATTATCAATTAATTTTTCGATCTAGCTAATTTTTTATTTCGGGGATATCGGAAGATCTAAATTGTGAAAAATGTAAATTGTGATACGTAATAAAATTCGAGGTGATAAATAATATTAAATTGTCTTCTATGAAGAATAACATAACATTATTATACAAAACAAGTAACAAGGCGGTAAGTTCGGCCGGGCCGAACTTTGAATACCCATTTGGAAAGAAATTGGGCCATTTTCAAAAAAAAAAAAAAAATAAACACATTAAAAATTCTCTTAAAATCTTTAAAATACCTAACATCGGAAGGTGCCGATATATGGGGGGATATACGATATTGTGAGCCTATATAGACAAATCTATGTTTACGGGTAAAGTACTCACAAAGAACTCCTTGTGTAGAATTTCAGACAATTCCGTTTAAAAATGTGGCTAAACTCATCAAAATACCGAATATCGGGGGGTACCGTTATATGGGGTTTATACGATATTCTGGGGCTATAGAGACAATTCCCTTTCAGGGGGTATATGCTCACAAATAACTCCTTGTGTAGAATATCAGAAAATTCCATTGAAAAATGTGGCTAAAAACATCAAAATACCGAATATCGGGGGTACCCTTATATGGGGGATATACGATTTCGTGGACCTATATTGATAATTATCTTCCAAGGGATGAAGTACTCACAAGGAACTCCTTGTGTAGAATTTCAGACAATTCCGTTAGAAAGTGTGGCTGAACCCCGAATATCGGGGGGTACCGTTATATGAGGGATATACGATATCGTGGACTTATATAGATAATTCTCCGCCAAGGGATAAGGTCCTCACAAAGAACTCCTTGTGTGGATTGTTATACAATTCCATTGAAAAATGTGGCTAAAATCATCAAAATACTGAATATCGGTGTGTACCGTTATATGGAGGATGTACGATGTCGTGGACAATTCTCTTTCAGGGGGTAAAGTGTTCACAAAGAACTCCTCGTGTAGATTTTCAGACTATTCCATTAGAATGACGAACTTAATATACCCTCCATACTATGTATAGTGGAGGGTATAAAAACAATCAAATTTAACACTGTTCGCCAAAATTAATTTTTTTTTCAATAATTACGGGGATAATCCTGCAGATTATGAAAGTAGAGCTGAACAAAGAAGACACGCAGAGGGGACAATTCTCCTCTCTTATTCAGTTTTGGAAATTTTCGGATTAGGATTCCTCGTAATCCGCGCACATAAGGTATATCTTCGGCAATATTTTGACCATCAAGCGAGTCATGAAATGGGTGGTGGGTTGATCCTTTTCTCAAAATATGGTTAAAAACTTCATTGAAACGGGATCGCAGCAAGTCAAAATAGTCTACAAAATTATTTGTCATAGAAGACGCCAAAACTCTAAATCTTAATTAAACGCCAGGAATATTCCACCATTTTTTTTGGTAAAATTAACATTAACAATTAAAAATAAATAGAATATTTACACAAGTTAAAAAATATCAGTCGGTTTTGGCGACTTCCGTTATGATTATTCAAACTGGGAGTGGGTTCTGAAAGAATGGCCCAATATTGTCCATTACGTATCGAACCTCGCTTTCTCTGAGCGTTTTGTTTTTCAAAATCGTGAACCCTATGTGGGGGAGGTATCAGAAGAATTGATCCGATTTCTACCATCTTTATAAGAGATCTTGTGTTGATGGAAATATTGCGATGTATCAAGTCTGAATGAAATCGGATGTTAAATTCGCATTTTATGAACTTCATGGATATTCAAAATTATGAGGCTTGGTGGGTGGTGGAGTTACCAGAAGGAGTGGACCGATACATCTCATCTTCACAGATCTTGTGTAAGTAGAAATAACGAGATGTGTGAAATATGAAGAAAACCGGATGCTTATTACGGATTTTATAATCGTTTTGATTATTCAAAACTTTGACCCTTTGTGGGAGAGGTAACATAAGGAGTGGTCCGATCTCTACCATGTTCATAACAGATCTTGTAATGATGAAAGTATTCAGTTGTGCCAAGTCTGAATAGAATCGGATGTTAATTATGAGTTTAATGGATATACAAAATTTCGACCTTTTGTGGGGGAGGTGCCAGAAGTAGTGGACCGATATATTCCATCTTAACACCAGAACTTGGGTTAATACAAATATTAGGATGTTTGAAATTTGAAGACAATCTTACATCACATTTTATGAGAGTGGTTATTATTCAAAATTTTAATCCTTTGTAGGGGAGGTATTTGATAGAGTAGACCGATATTATCCATTTTGGCACCTGAACTAGATTTGACGTAAATATTAGGATTTGCAAAGTTGAAGCAAAACCGGATTATTGCTTCTCTTTCCATGCAGAAAATATATATATATATATAGGAATGGATCGATATTGCCCGTCTCCTAACTCGATCTAAGTTTGTCAAAAATAATACGATGTATCAAGTTTGGACCAAGTCGGAAACTCTCTTCGAGAATTATCGTGCGCACCAGCCAGACAGACGGACGGACGGCGGACGGATATCGCTAGATCGACTCCAAATAAAGATGAATAATGTCGATAATATCATCAAATAACCTACTTCATTTCGTTCGGAAGTTTGAGTGATTTCCACATTGTCATAGAATTTTATGCTGATCAAGAATCTATATACACTGCGGGATCTAAAATGTATACTTAGAGGTATTACCCTCCATACTATGGTGGAGAGCTTTGAAATTTGATATAGACCCTTGAATTACGTCCAGAATCATTTTTACAGAGAATGGGTCATATCGATCCACTTTTTGGAATAGCCTTCTTGTGAGGATAATTTCGATTTCCAGATTTTTTGAGGTTTGGTCCTTAACCCGTATATTATTTTGAGGGTCTTGGCCATGGGTCTTATTATTATTTTAAAACTTCCTCCGTAACTATGGATGTGTAATTTATTTTGGGTATAAACTAAAAGTTTTAATTTGCAGATTTTGAAATTCAAATGCCAGTTCAACCAAATTGTCCGTTGTTAGATATATTTTTATAAATATATTTTTTATTTCATTTTATTCTCTTTTTAAAGAGAATTCATAAAAAAGCTCTAAGAAACTATTCATAACTTCGCAATATTTTCTAAGCTTAATTACGATGACGACGGAGAACACGGCTGCGATGGGTCTTATAACGGTATCCCTCGGCATCGGAGAAGCTATGGGCTGGAGCAGCAACTTCAACGGTATCAAATGAGGCAGCTGGGGCCAAATAAGATGTGACTGGAGCGGCGGCAGCAACTTCATAGGTGGTACTGGCAGTTACAGGGGGCAAATATTCGGTGGAAACATCGCGACGATGACGACGGGCAGTTTTGACGACACGACGCTTTTGTGTCTTGTAACGATAACCCTCAGCATCGGAATAACTATGAGCTGGAGTAGCAACCTCGACGGTATCGAAGGAGGCAGCTGGGGCCAGGTAGGAAGTAACTGGAGCGGCGGCAGCGACAACTGGAGCAGCAGCAGCAACTTCGTAGGTGGTGCTGGCAGCTACAGGTGGCAAGTATTCGGTAGACACATCACGACGATGGCGACGAGCAGTTTTGACAACACGGCGTTTTTGGGTCTTGTAACGATAGCCTTCAGCATCGGAGAAGCTATGGGCTGGAGCAGCAACTTCAACGGTATCAAATGAGGCAGCTGGGGCCAAATAAGATGTGACTGGAGCGGCGGCAGCAACTTCATAGGTGGTACTGGCAGTTACAGGGGGCAAATATTCGGTGGAAACATCGCGACGATGACGACGGGCAGTTTTGACGACACGACGCTTTTGTGTCTTGTAACGATAACCCTCAGCATCGGAATAATTATGAGCTGGAGTAGCAACCTCGACGGTATCGAAGGAGGCAGCTGGGGCCAGGTAGGAAGTAACTGGAGCGGCGGCAGCGACAACTGGAGCAGCAGCAGCAACTTCGTAGGTGGTGCTGGCAGCTACAGGTGGCAAGTATTCGGTAGACACATCACGACGATGGCGACGAGCAGTTTTGACAACACGGCGTTTTTGGGTCTTGTAACGATAGCCTTCAGCATCGGAGAAGCTATGGGCTGGAGCAGCAACTTCAACGGTATCAAATGAGGCAGCTGGGGCCAAATAAGATGTGACTGGAGCGGCGGCAGCAACTTCATAGGTGGTACTGGCAGCTACAGGGGGCAAATATTCGGTGGAAACATCGCGACGATGACGACGGGCAGTTTTGACGACACGACGTTTTTGTGTCTTGTAACGATAGCCTTCGGCATCGGAGAAGCTATGGGCTGGAGCAGCAACTTCAACGGTATCGAAGGAGGCAGCTGGAGCCAGGTAGGAAGTAACTGGAGCGGCGGCAGCAACAACTGGAGCAGCAGCAGCAACTTCGTAGGTGGTACTGGCAGCTACAGGTGGCAAATATTCGGTGGAAACATCACGACGATGACGACGGGCAGTTTTGACAACACCACGTTTTTGCGTCTTATAACGATAACCTTCAGCATCGGAATAACTATGAGCTGGAGCAGCAACTTCAACGGTATCAAATGAGGCAGCTGGGGCCAAATAGGATGTGACTGGAGCGGCGGCTGCTACTTCATAGGTGGTGCTAGCAGCTACAGGTGGCAAGTATTCACTGCTGAGTTGGGCAGAGGCAGCAGCCACCAAGGCGAGGACAATAAATAATTTCTGAAATAAATAATGCCATTTATTTCTATTTTAAAATTCAAACCCCAAATCAATTACCAAGAACTGAAATTCGAACTCACCATTCTTGATACAGTTATTTGCTCCAAATTGAAGAGTACAAATGCCTTTGATGCTTTTCTGTTGACATCTGCACTATTTTATAGCAAATATTTTAAGTTTTTTTCATTTTCTGTCTTGAGTGATGAATTCTTATTGCTTCGTCACAATCTACATAAATCAGTTAATATCCGCCAATATTATCAGTTCTTTTGTTTTGAACAACAATAATTCCTTTCAATTGCTAATTGTCAACACTAAACTATTTTCCTTTCACTAAAGCCCAAATCCGAATCCAAGTATGTGTGCAGTGGCAACAACAACTGCCCCTTGACAACAATCTGCGAAAATAGATGAGCAACCTGTTCTATTTACTTTCGATTTTTTATAACACATATTTTTTATTATATAAAAAACATAAAAAAGATTAACCAAAATGTCACAAAAATATTTGATGGGTTTCGGCCAGCAGATATGGAAATAGTAGATCATGACTAACTCAGAATTATTATTAGCTTCCGATAACTTCTGAATCGAGTTATAAGTTTTTAAAAATTTGTGAGTCTATTTATACCCTACAACACTATGTGTTGGGGGTATTATAAGTTTGATTGGGCCAAAAATTATGTAACACCTCGACATATTGATTTCCCACATAGGAAAGTATATATGGATCTTCCTATCTCGCCGAACTGACTCGATCTAGCTATGTATGTCCGTCCGTATGTCTGTCCGTCTGTCCATGTAAATTTGTAATCACTCTACAGGTCGCAATTATGGCCCGATTCTCACGAATGGAAGTGGGGATAGGGTCTGAATAAGAGATAGTCGCAAAATATTTAGGGGTTGAAATGGACCAAAAACTGAAAAAAAAAATTCTTGATTTTGCAGTTGCTCTACAGGTCGCAATTATTGACCAATCAAAGTGGAAGTTAGCATGGGGCTAGAGCTTAGGGCTGGGCAGAAGCCTTCCAATTTTGATGGTCATCGGGTAATATTTAGTGGGTGAAATAGGCCACAACATTTGTGTTAAATAAAAGTCAAATTTTCCATTAAACCGCGAATATTTTTAATCCCGGCGAAATCACAAATAGACGAACAGGTCAATTCTGACCGTTACGTAGATGGAGATAGTAAATATATCGGTTATATATAGCGAAATATATACAATGTGTATATACAAAGGAAGGGGATGTTAGTTAGAATGCTTATATCTCAAGAATGGCTGGACCGATTTTGACAAATTTTGTCAATTCAGAATGCCCTCTTGACATAAAAGTATAAAATCTAAAAAAATCGCAGAAAAATATGCCAATAATGATGTTAATATAGATTTTGTAGTATTTTGTGACATTTTTTTATTTTTTCATATTTTTTATCGCATTCGATTTTTTCAATTTGACTTATAATATTTTGTAATATTTTTTCACCTTACAACACAGGTTGGGGATATTATATAATTATTGCAAATATCGTCCGATCCTCACGAAAATTTTCACAAGGGTAGGTTTGGGCTCAGAAGGGCTAGGCCTATTGTTTTCAAAAATGTCCGCAATAATATATTTATGGGTTGAAATGGACCAACAACTAAAAATTTTCCTGATTTTGCACAATGGACCACTTTGTGTGAAAAAATACCAGCGTTACTTACAGGCGATATCCGAAATACACCAAAGGCGAACTTCTGGCTTTTTTATGCTGATTTCGTTGACGAATATAGCCAAATATCGTAGACAAACAAACCATATAAGTGAGTCTAAATTTGAAGATACAGAGGGGCCTTTTGCGTTCAGAGATGATCGCAAAATATCAAAAAAAAGAGGTCAAAATGAACCAAAAACAGATATGTTTTTCCGATCACACAATTGAAGCCAATCGACACGCCTGTGAAGAGAGTTATGGACAGGGAAAAATTCCAGCATTTTGGATGACCATTGGATTATATATTTAGCTGTAAAATGTACTACAACAACTAACAGCCGACGGAGAACATAAATGTTGGGCAAATGTACTTGTCAAAATCCTAATTTCAAAAGCGAAATCTTGCAAAATGGATTTGGACATAGGGTACTTCTAACATATAGTAGTGTTGTAGGGTATAACATAGTCGGTCCCGCACGACTATAGCCTTTGCTTACTTGTTTATTATATATTATGTTATTAGAACATAAGGCAGGGCAGAAGGCTTCAAATTTGGATGGTCGCCGGGTAATAATCGATGGTCGCTCTCCGCTCGTATTAATCGACCGTGGTATCAGAATAAATGCCGAATATTATCGCGAAAATATTCTGGAGGGTATATTAAAGCCTTGGACACGCAAACATTTGGGCCGCAGACCTTGTACATTCCAACAGGACTCAGCACCATCGCACTCAGCACGCGACACCTAAGAATGGTTACAAAATGAGGTTCCTCGCTACATTTCCAGCGCACAATGACCACCAAAATCTCCGGATACCAATCCGTTGCACTATTTTGCTGGGAGTATTTTGGAAAGCAAGGTTGGCATTAAAAAATACCAAAGTGTCGATCACCTCAAGCAAGCGCTTCGCCGGGAATAGGCCAAAATACAGCAGAGCAACATCCAAACTTATTCTAATTTTTTTTTTTGCTATCATTCAATAAAATTTAAAAAAATGCAAAAAACATGGGGTTTGACTTTGTTGCAGTTTTTTATCTCACCCTGTATACCCGCAGTGAATGTCTCTTTGTTTATATATATTGACTTGCGTTATGATTATTCAAGTTTTTGTCCCTTGATGGGGGAGGTTCCAAAAGTATTGGCCAATCCTGTTCCATTTTATATCCGACCTAAATCTGATATAAATATTATAATGTGACACAATTGGCCTTCATCGACATCGAAGTACAGGATGTACTTTGTATGAGATCTGTAGTATTTTTTGGAAAATTTTCAAATGTACGACATATACCAGATACAGTGGACCGATGTATTCCTCTTCATCTAATACTGATAAAAATATTAATCAGAAGTAGTGGACCGAAATTTTTATTAGTTCTATGGAAATATTGAGTTACACGAAGTTTGATAAAAATCGCTGATTTATTTCGCATGTTATTCAAAATATTGACACATTTGGCGGAAGTGCCAGAATAAGTGCGTCGATAAATTCCATTTTCACATCAGATCTCTGGTTGAGAGAAACATTTCGATGAACCAAGTTTGAAAAGATTCGCTAACTTGTTTCGAATGTTATAACAGATATAATTATCCAAATGTTGATCCTTTGCAGAGAAGGTACAAGAAGGAGTGAATCGATATATTCAATCTTCAGAGTGTTAGTGGAAATTTAAGAATGGGTGGAGCTTAGAAAGAATTGGATGCTTATTTCGCATTTTATGAGAGTTTGGGTGATTCCATATTTGGACCCGTTGTTGGGAAGGTATCAAAACAGTGATCCTACATATTTCTCCTTCACACCAGATCTTGATTTTTGTATAAATATTACGATGCGCGAAATTTTAAGAGAATTTTATGGTTATTCAAAATGTTGACCCTTTGTGGGCTAGGTACCAGAAGGAGTGGGCTGATATCTACATTTTTCACAGCAGATCTTATTTTGATAGAAATATTTAGATTTAAGGAGTTTAAAAGGAATCGAATGCTATTTTCACGTTTTAAGAGATGCATAGCTATTCAACATTTTGACCCGTACCAGGAGATACCAGAAGAAGTAGACCGATATACTCACAGTAGATCTTGTGTTAATATAAATATTGCGATATGCGAAATTTGAAGACAATTTATTTCACATTTTATATTTTTTTATTTTATATTTTTTTATTTCACATTTTATAACGGTTATAATTATTCCAAATGTTGATCCTTTACGGTAGAGGTGCATTTTCACACCTGACATAGCACTGAAAAAAATATTGAGATTTCCGTTTGCACAAAATCGAATGACCCTTCTATGAGGTAAATTATTTTCATTGAAAATTTTGACATTTTGTTGAGGAAGGTACCATGTACCTTACCTACTAGGGTTTTGAAAACGTTTAACAGAATAGTTTTAAAAGAGCTCCACTAAGTTATACAAAAAAAACTAAAAGTTCTCTATCACATATCATACTGCCTCAACCCCCTTACCACCAACTAAAAAAAATCAATTTTTTTTTATCAAATAATCTTTAATTTATTTGAGTATCGTTTAGGTGTGCATCATATATCGGAACTTCTTCTGCTTAGTTACGGTGACGACGAGAAGTCTTAACAACGCGACGACGTTGAGTCTTGTAACGATAGCCATCAGCAGCCGAATAAGAATGAGCTGGAGCAGTTCCGGCAACTTCATACGATTCATAGGCTGGAGCAGAGTAAGTAGCTGCTGGGGCCGAGTAAGAAACAGCAGCTGGAGCGGAATAAGAAACGGCAGCTGGAGCAGAGTACGAAACAGCAGCTGGGGCAGTGTAGGACACAGCAGCTGGAGCAGAGTAAGAAACAGATGCTGGAGCAGCATACGAAGCAGCTGGTGCAGAGTATGAAGCAACTGGTGGCAAATATTCAGTGCTGACATCACGACGATGACGGCGACGGCTGCGCTTGTTGGTCTTGTAACGGTAGCCTTCGCTGGCAGAGAAAGTGGCAGTGGGAGCAGAAGCTTGATAAGTTTCATAGGTGGCAGCTGGGGCACTGTAAGATACAGCAGCGGGGGCGGAGTAGGATACGGCAGCAGGAGCAGAATAGGATACAGCAGGAGCCGATTCAGCAACATGATAGGTGGCAGCTGGAGCAGAGTATGACACAGCAGGAGCTGAAGCAGCAACATGATAGGTGGCAGCTGGTGCACTATAGCTTACAGCAGGTGCCGAATGAGCGCCCTGATGAGGTGGCAAATATTCAGTGTTGAGCAAATGGCTAACATCGGCGCTGGCAACTGCCACCAAGGCAAACAAGGCAATAAACAGTTTCTGAAAAAAAAAACACAAGATTATAAATGTTATATTATATTTGATATATATTCTCATTTCGCTGATAAATACTAACCATCATAAGCGTGCTGATCTCCTACTGGCAGAAGAGTTCAAGTGATATGCGATCTAACAAAACAAGATGTTTTTATACCACAAATCAGATCAGTTATTTTTTTAGAAATATTTCAATAACAATTAAAATATTCTTTATATTGGATAGTTAGAGTATTTAAGATATGCTACTATGAACATATTCTGGCTTGACTGGTAAATATGAGTTCGGGATTTACCCACCACTATGGCATAAAACAGATTATGTTGGGTTGATCGTTCAGTTTGTAACATTGCGAAATATTAGTTCAAAGACCAAAAATCAAATTATTATTATTATTAATATTTGTTATGATTTATTTAAATAAACCAAAACTCAGATTAGGGAGTGGTATGACAAAAAGTACAAACTTCAAAAGAAAGTAAAGAATTTCACATTATAAATTACATAAGAATACTTATATAACATTGGACTAACAACTTTTAGTCATGAAATCTGATCTTTCTACGTATGAAGTCTCACAAAAAAAAAAAATATTAAAAGTCCCATAATATTTTGGAATGAAGTCCTTGAAAAAATCAACGATTTTCGAAAAAAATCTAATAATATATTAAAGCAAATATATAATATATATATATATAAATATATATATATATATATATATATATATATATATATATATATATATATATATATCTATATATATATATATATATAATAAATTTATATATATATAAATTAATATAATATATATAATATAATATATATAATATAATATATATATATATAATATAATATATAATATAATATAGATTTTTCAAGGGCTTCATTCCAAAACATTATGGAACTTTCAAGATTTTTTTAATGAGACTTCATACACAGAATGATCGAATTTCATAACTGAATGTAGTGAGTCCAATGTTATATAAGTATTCGAAATCCTTTTTTAATAGAAAGATATTCAATATCAATTATTTTTTCAATGCGTTCCTCGAAATTGGTATACAGGGTGAGATAAAAAAATTTCAACAAAGTAAAACGCCATAATTTAATTTTTTTTTTTTATTTTATTTATTTATTTATTTATTTTTTTTTTTTTTTTTTGAATGAAAGCATTTTTTTGAATTCGGCATTTATTCTGATGCCACGTTCGATTAATACGAGCGAAGAGTAACCATCGGCTGTTATGGCGGCCCACACCGGCGCTTGAGTTCTGGTGGCCAACCGAAGGTGCTCATTTGAATGTTTTCTCAACAGAGAAAACCAAATTCGGCAGTTCACCACTTTCGGCCAAGCGAAGCAACTCTTTAGCTCTTTTGAGTCTATTTTCTTTCTGTTGCGGTGTAAGTTCATGCACTTTTTGGAATTTCAATGGCATTACCCCGAGTTAATTTTTCAATATTTTCCGATTGGAATATTGCGATATGTTCAGCTCACGACCCATTTTCGTCCACTGCGAAGCGGGTTTCAATCAAGTCACTTCTATACTTTTCGAACGATTTCTGCTGATATTGCTGTTTTCTTCCGTCCTGTGGTTTTCCAGCCAAATATAAAGAAATCACACTATCACGCTTGAATTCCATCACGAATAACTTTTTTTTTGGAAAATTTTCACCAAAATACTTTTGTACGCTTATAAACAATATAATGAGCTGTCGTGTGGAATAATTTTAACAGCTGTCGGATGAGTGGATTTGAAATAACAGTAGTCTCAAGTTGGTTGCAGTATGTTCATCTCACCCTGTATATCCAATTTTATGGAAAATGATAAATTTCATATTTATATCATATTTCTGGATGAGAAAAATATTTTGATATAGCAAGTTATAAAGGATCGCGGACTTGTTTCGCAAAATTATGACAGTAAAAAATTTTGAAAATGTTGAACCTTTTAAGGTAAGGTACCAGAAGGAGTAGGTAGGTATCTATCATCTTCACAACAGATCTTGTGTTAGTAGAAATAATGGCATGTGTGAAATTTGAAGCAAATCGGATGCTTATTCTGGATTTTATGATCGTTTTGGTTATTCAAAATGTTGATAGGTAAGAAAAACGCGATGATAGAGTTTCGACGAAAAGCAAACACTCATTTCACTTTTTATATACTCTTTAGGATGTGGGTCAACATTGGGATGTTTGAGGAAAATTATATCACATTGTATTATTTAAAATATTGATACTAGATGTGCTTCTTCATACCTGACCTAATTCAGCTTTTAATTGTTTCAAGTTGGACCATATAGGCTACACTATTCGCTCTAATTAAATAAATAAAAAAAACAAGCAAGCAAAGGCTATAGACGTGCATTTTTCAGATAAATATAATTCAACGGTCGTTCAAAATGCTACACTTCTGCGCTGTCCTAAGCCCTAACCGTATGCAATATTCCGTGTCGATTGGTTTTCAATTGTGACCTGTAGAGCCACTGCAAAACCTGGAAAGTTTTAATTTTTGCCAATTTGAATCCCTAAATATATATCCTGAAAAAATTGGGTTTAATTCTGGTCCTAACTCTATGCCCATGCAGAATTGCGACTTGGATGTGATACTCCCAAAATACAGAATGTGATACTCCCTAAAAACAATATGAAAATATCTGTTGCGATAATTAATATTACAAACAATTTAAAAATAAGTATTCACTTATTTGTTGGCACGAGGTTTTCTTAGATTTTATCCTTTTCCGGCAAGAGATCATTCCAAATTTGTGAGACTTTTTAAAATCAGTTCAGCCGTTCTGGAGCTATAAGCTATAAGCGGTCTAACTAACGTCGACTTTATTGATATATGAGATTGTATATATTTTGCTATATTTGCAATGTATCGGTCAGAAGTGATATTTTCGTGCATTTCTGATTTCGCCAGTATTGAAAATATTTGCGGTATAGTGGAAATTTTCGTATTTTCATGTACAAGTTATGGTATATTTTACCCACTAAATATTGTCCGATGAGCAAACAAAATGCCCTGTTTCTGAGCAGCCCTAAACCCTAGCCCCATACTAAATTCCGCTTCGATTGGTATGTAAATGCGACCTGTAGAACAACAGCAAAATCTGTAAATTTTTTTGTTTTTGGTCCATTTCAACTCCTAAATATCTTCAATAACAACAGGCTTCTATTATGACCCTAGCCCCAACTTCATGCTTAATTTTCCCTTTGGATTTAATTGTATCCATCAATTTATTTCCATTCGGTAGACATAGCTAAATCGAAATAGTATTGAATGTTGATTAAAAATATAAACTTGAAGGATAAATACATTTTTCTACGAATTACAAACGAAATTAAAAAGTTATTATACGCATTGTCTAGAGTATAAAATAAATTCAACTTAATATCGAAAATAATATAAAATAATTTCTTTCTCATGTCTCATATATTCAGAATGTATATCACCGCTTCAAAATTATTATTATTTTTCCACTAACGAAGTGTGTTTACAATTCGTTCAGTCCGAACTCTTTTTTTTACCCCTTTGTTTAATGTTTGCACATGCAGCCAAAAATTCGTTTCGACAATGATTTATAATCGATAAATAATCCAAATCTTTGATCTTCTTGAAACATATTGTCTGTTGCGATTTAATTATGATCACCCCATCATTTCGGGACAAGTTTACTTTCTAGCGATTGCTCAGAATTCTAATTTCATTTGACAGCATTCAATAAACAATCAAAATGTTAAACAATCAAATTGGCTAGTGTTTCGCATTCGAGTATTTAACTTTCGATTTTATGGCATCTCAATTGTTAAGAAATCGAAAAATAAATTGAATAATTATTTTTTTCTCTCCGTCTATTGTTTTATTTTAAATAGCATAACAAATAATCCCGTTTAATTTGCATAAAATAAATAAATGACATTATGAGTTGGCATTTTAGCGAAAGGGGTAGCATACTTTTAGGAATATGTTGCATTTGAGAATTTGCCAAAGAAACTAATTCTGCTCCCCAAAGTATGTTAACTGAAAATGAATTTCAAATTAAGTTCAGTTAGTTAAATATTAAAAAAATGTTCTCCATAGTGATAACCAGTCTTTAATAAATCTACAAGAAACAAGTAAAGAAGTGTTAAAAGTCGAGCGGGCTGACTTTTTGATACCCTACCCCACTATACACATAGTAGAGCTACCCGTAAGAAATAAACGTTTATATTGGGAACGCATATTTCAACGTTATAGTTATATGATCCATTTTTCAAAAAAAATCCATTCTATTTAGGCTGGGATCACTTACTTTTTGTTCACAATAGACGTGAAATCGGATGAAAAATTATGTGGGAGCTATATGCAAATCTGAACCGATCTCTAAAAAATTAGCAAAGGTATTTCAACATTGTATCTGATACCTCGCACTAAATATCTTTTTATTATAATGCAGATTACGAATGCGGAGGACAAAAATAGCAAATCGGATTAACAATATATTTGTGAGCTATAGCTATATCTGAACCGATTTTCTCCAAATTTGATGTACTTGCTTCTATGAAAAAATCTATCCAATTTGGGCTAATATTATATGTGTGGTGATCAATATTCGTAAAATCGGAGGAAGATAAAATTTGGTGTTTTCGAGCACTCTGGTATCAAATATCACTGTTGTGGAGTGCATATAACACATGTATGGGACTTTAACACCAAATCGGATGAATCATATATATGGGAGCTATAGCTATATTTGAACCGATATTTTTCAAATTTGATGTACTTGCTTCTAGATTGAATTTGGTTGGATATGACAAAATTCAGGTTATTTGGACTGATGTTGGCCATTTTTGATGCACAATTAATCCGAAATCGGTTCAAGATATATATGGGGCCAAATCTAAATTTAAACCGATTCTTACCAATTTCAACGGGTCTCGTCCATGGGCTAAAAATATATTGTTTGGAAAATTTCATCTCAATCGGATTTTGTTCACAAAAATACGTGGATAGAAAAACTGACGGACGGACATGCATAAATCGACTCAGAATATGATTCTAGGCGGATGATCAGTAGAAACTAAAGGCCTATCTCGCCTCCTTCTCCATGTAACAAAAAAAAGCACAAATACATAATACCCTCACCACAGTGTGTGGATATAAATATGATCGAAGAAAAATACGAATGGGACCGTAGCACCTTCTTCACGTTCCAGAGAAATATTTAGATATAGCAAGTTGTAAAGAATAGCTGGATTGTTTCGCATGTTATGACAGATAAAAGTATTGAAAATTGTGACCCTTTGTGGATGAGGGATTCACAGATATATATCATCTTCAGAACAAACCCTGTGTTAGCTAAAGTGTTTGTGTGTGTGAAATTTGAAGAGAGTTGGATGCTTAATTCGCTATCTTCGAGCGTTTTGTTTTTCAAAATCTTGAACCCTATGTATTGGAGGTACCAGAAGAAATGGTCCGATCTCTACCATCTTTATAACAGATTTTTTGCTGACAAAAGTATTGAGATGTGCCATTTGTGGCGGAGATACCAGAAGAAGTGGATCGATATATCCCATCTTCATACCAGACAAGGTAATTTGAAGACAACCGAACGCGAAGGTCACATTGTTTGAAATTGGGGTAACAATAGGAGGGGGGTACTGGAGTTAACCGATATTGTCTATTTTCGCACCTGACGTATCACTGATGGAATTACTAGAATTTGCGAAGTTGTATCGCATAATCCTTTCTCTTTCTGTGCAGTACAATTTTTTTTTTTTTCGAAAATTTCGACCTTTTGTGGGGGAGGTACCAGAAAGAGGGGACCGATATTACCCAACTCCGAACTCAATCTAAGTTTGATAATAATATTAGGATGTACCAAGTTTGGATCAAACCGTATACTTCCTTTGAGAGATATCGTGCGCACCAGCCAGACAGATAAACGGACGGACGGGCATTGCTAGTTCGACTGAAATGTCCTGAAACGAATTTTGTCCATAGAGACCTTGAGTCTAAAACCGTTATTTCGATGAGGCACGTTTTGGCCGTATCCAATGATCTAGCCATATGGCTGAGGGTGTAAAAACGTACATTGGCTGAGGATATATTTTTATTACCCTCTTATAATGAAGTTTTTTGTTATATTTTGACTGGCAAAATATGGACATTTCTATAAAATTTTTGTAAAAAGTATTAAACCTATATACAGTGTCTATTCCGAAACTTACAGAGATATGTTGTGTAGAATATTTTTTGCTTTGACACGGCCGTTATAATTAAGTCTCATATTCTCTTAATACAAAAAAATAGGAAACTTAGGAAGTATTTATTTGATTAGATTTAATGCCCTTTGTTTGCTTTTAGTGTGATTTCACGTAGACAATTTTTGTGTCTGATGTCAGCGCCATAAAATGCTACATTAACGCTGAAACATGTTTTAGTTTTAATGTTTTCCGAAATTTAATTTTAAATTTTGGAGGTTGGCTTTATTTTAGGACCTACAGTAAAATTGTTTGAGGAAAAATATTGTAGAATATTTTAAAGATTTTGAAGGGTTTTCTAGAACATGACTTTAAATAACCTTTTAATAACTTGACTTATGCTTAATATGCTCTACAATAGTATTCGTAGAATTTTCCTCAACATTTAAGAATGTACTTTATACATACATTTTATCTTTGCATTAAATATTCTTATAGTGAGAAATTCCCTTATTTTTTGTATAAATATTACCCCCTTGGTTCTCACATTCTCCTGTCGTCCAATAAATAAAACAACAACCAATCTAATTTATAAAAATATATTTATTCGTTTTCGTCTTAGGAACTAATCTTAAGTTACAATGAAATTATTCAATTCTGTCATTCGTCGTTAACATTCTAAGAACACATCGAACTCAAACTTACAACATTTATCTCTAACTAAGTACATAGCGAAATAGTTTGTTTTTTTAATTTATTACTTTATTTATAGTTAATGACTATTCTCTTTATTCGTTTAATGTACGTCGAGCGAACATGTGCATCTCGTCAATGCTGAAGCACAGTCTAAAACGGTTACCCGTTAATTGTACAACACTAACGGTTGGAGGGGCAAACAAATAACAAACCTAAAACTAAATATGAAATTATATAAAATAGCCTATAATTCGAGCATCCAAATTATCGGGCTAAATAATCACAATTTTTGATGTGGTCCTGATCGGTTTGCTCTGGTGGCAGTGGTCTTAGAAGTTGAAGGGAATGGCGGGACGGGGATATGAATAACCTTGTGGTTTTTGTGTTGGCAATACCAACTTGTTTGCAGGTGTGGGGTAGGTGTAGCCCTTATTTGGTTGGGGTGGTTGAGTTGGTCTTTGTGTGGGTTTGGTGGGTAAAGTAAATGTTACAGCTGGTGTGGGGTAGGTATAGCCCTTGGTACGTTGGGGTGGTTGGGTTGGTCTCTGCGTAGTTTTGGTGGGCAGAGTAAAGGGCACAGCTGGTGTGGGGTAGGTATAGCCCTTGGTACGTTGGGGTGGTTGGGTTGGTCTCTGCGTAGTTTTGGTGGGTAGAGTAAAGGGCACAGATGGTGTGGGATAGGAATAACCCTTAGTTGGTTGGGGTGGTTGGGTTGGTTTCTGCGTAGTTTTGGTGGGTAGAGTTAAGGGCACAGATGGTGTGGGGTAGGTATAACCCTTGTTTGGTTTGGGTGGTTGGGTTGTTCTCTGCGTAGCTTTGGTGGGTAGAGTAAAGGGCACAGATGGTGTGGGGTAGGAATAACCCTTGGTACGTTGGGGTGGTTGAGTTGGTCTTTGCGTTGTTTTGGTGGGTAAAGTAAAGGTCACAGCTGGTGTGGGGTAGGTATAACCCTTGTTTGGTTGGGTTGGTTTCTGCGTAGTTTTGGTGGGTAGAGTAAAGGTCACAGCTGGTGTGGGGTAGGTATAACCCTTGTTTGGTTGGGTCGGTCTCGGCGTAGTTTTGGTGGGTAGAGTAAAGGTCACAGCTGGTGTGGGGTAGGTATAACCCTTGGTAGGTTGGGGTGGTTGGGTTGGTCTCTGCGTGGTTTTGGGGGGTAAAGTAAAGGCCACAGCTGGTGTGGGGTAGGAGTAACCCTTGGATGGTTGGGGTGGTTGAGTTGGCCTTTGCGTGGTTTTGGAGGGTAAAGTAAAGGCCACAGCTGGTGTGGGGTAGGAATATCCCTTGGATGGTTGGGGTGGTTGCGTAGATCTCTGCGTAGCTTTGGTTGGTAGAGTAAAGGGCACAGATGGTGTGGGGTATGAGTAACCCTTAGATGGTTGGGGTGGCTGAGTTGGTCTCTTTGTTGATTTGGTTGGCAATACAAATTCCACAGCTGGTGTGGGGTAGGAATAACCCCTACTTGGTTGAGGTGGCTGAGTTGGTTTCTGCGTAGCTTTGGTGGGTAAACTAAATGTTACAGCTGGTGTGGGGTATGAATAACCCTTGGTAGGTTGGGGTGGTTGAGTTGGTCTCTGCGTACCTTTGGTGGGTAAACTAAATGTTACAGCTGGTGTGGGGTAGGTATAACCCTTGGTAGGTTGAGGAGGAGTTGGTTTAGATGTTATTTCAAAGGGAATTTTCGGCACTGGATAAGAATAGCCCGGTTTCTGGGGTAGAGTAAAGGGCACATCTGGAGGAGGGTATGAGTATCCATTCGATTGAGTATCGGCTACCAAATAATTTGACACCGGGCCATAATAACCACTAGGAATGTATTGGGCCTCACATGAAAAGCTTATGCCCAGCAGCAGCAGGGGTAGAAGGAAAAATTTCTGAAAATAAAAAAGCAAAGATAATATTGAATTAAAACATAAATAAAAATAATTAAGAAATAGTATTTAGCGATTATTGCGATTGTATTTATATTTGCTTTCCCTCTCATCCGCATTATGGCAACATTTTAGTGGTTTTCCGTTGAATTTATACATTGACCTATTCAGTGGCTTAAAAAGTGTGGCATAAGTACTAAACGCTGGCTATATCGCACGGGCCGAAATAAAAACGTACTTTGTAAGTCTTCTTCTCCATACCTTATGTTTTTTTTGTTTTTGTACCGGATATTCATTTTATTTGACTTATGCACCTGACACAGTGCTTGACCGCAAAGTTATGTGTGAAGTATGATGTGTGTTTTGTTGTTGTTGTTCTTTTCAGTTGTGTGCTAAGTTTCTTTTGGGTGATATTCATGCCTTAAATCAATATATTTTTTCTTTTCATCTTTAACCTACACAGTTTAGTCTAAAACTGCTTATAGAATCTGCAATATAACATTAATTAAAATTAATCTAGGAATATTTTTGTCATATATATCAGGGTGGTATATTTTGGGCTTCTTTTTGGGGAGATATAAATCTAAAATATTTAAAAAAAATATTAAAGATTTCTGGATTGGATTTCTAAGATTCAAAATGCCTTAGGAAGACATTCACATGGAAATAGTTTGAATAATTCTCTTCCAGAATCCTCGGTAATGCTTGGTCATCACAAATATTTTTGATACCATACAGGGTGAGATGAAAAAAACTTCAACCAATTTCAGACTGGTGTCATTTCTAAGCCACTCGTCCGACAGCTGTTAAAATTATTTCAGTTACAGCTCATTATATAGCTTACAAGCATACAAAAGCATTTTGGTAAGAATTTTCCAGAAAAAAAGTTATTCGAGATCGAATTCAAGTGAGATAGTGGTATTTCTCTATATTTGGCTGGAAAACCACAAGTGGCTACCGATAGAGCACTCCAGCATTTAAATGTGAATAAATCTTTTGTGTCTTATACCATGGCTCGTTACCGTGATACTGGTAGCGTAGCCCGACGTCAACGAAGTGGACGAAAGGAAAAAAACAACATCAGCAGAAATGGTTCGAAAAGTAAAGAAGCGACTTGATCGAAACCCGCGTCGCAGTGGCCGAAAAATGGCTCGGCAGCTGAATATATCGAAATATTCCATTCGGCAAATATTGAAAAATAAGCTCGGGGTAAAGCCATTTAAATTCCAAAAAGTGCAAGAACTTACACTGCAACAGAAAGAAAATAGACTCAAAAGAGCTAAAGAGTTGCTCCGCTTGGCCGAAAGTGAAGAACTGCCGAATTTGGAATTCTCCAGTGAGAAAAATTCGTTGTCCAGCAGTTTGGAAACAAACAAAATGATCGTGCTTACTTGCAAAGAAGTTTGCACCTTTGGTTGGCCACCAGAACTCAAGTGCCGGCCATGGTGATGGTGTGGGCCGCCATAACAGCCGATAGTAAATATCCGCTCTGTATCAGAATAAATGCCGAATATTATCGCGAAAATATTCTGGAGTGTGTATAAAAGCTTTGGGCACTCAAACATTATGGCCGCAGACCTTGGACATTCTTACAGGACTCAGCACCATCGCACTCAGCGCGCGCCGCACAAGAGTGGTTACAAAATGAAGTTCCTCGCTTCATTTCCAGCGCACAATGTTAGTGGCCATTGTGCGTTCCGAATACCAATCCTTTAGACTATTGTGTCTGGAGTATTTTGGAAAGCAAAGTTGGCACTAAAAAATACCAAAGTGTGGATCACCTCAAGCAAGCTCTACGCTGGGAATGGGCCGAAATACCGCAGACCAACATTGGGGCAGCGTGTGACGGTTTCATTGGCCGTTTGAAGGCTATAATTCGTGCCAAATGTGATTAATTCGAACAAATCTAAACTTATTCTAATATTTGATGCTGTTTCCGATATTTTTTTATTTTCATTCAATACAATTAAAAAAAAATTAAAAATTATGGCGTTTGACTTTGTTGCAGTTTTTAATCTCACACTGTAGAATTAGCAATATAGCATTAATTAAAATTAACTTAGGAATATTTTTGTCTTATATGTCGGGGTTTTATATTTTAGGCTAATTGTTTCTGGATTTGTTTTCAGAGATTCAAAATGACTTAAGAAGGCATCCACATAGGCACAGGTTGAACAACCCTCTTCCAGAATCTTCAGTAATGCTTAATCATTACAAAGTTTTTTGAAACCATAGCCACATTGAGGCAAGTGAAGAAGGGTACAATGATTTTCTGTCAGACCCTATTGTCCATGGAGTAATTGCACCTTTACCCATTTTGTTTTTTAATTTTTATTTTTTTCATTTATTAATTTTTCTCCATACAACCTCAATGCCTCATCAGCTGCTGAATGCGATTAACCTCCCACTGATGTACACATTATTAATTCTCTAAATTTAATTTGTATTTTACCAAAAATTCCAACCTCAATATTTTTTTCAGTCTCTTTCTTTGGCACTTCATGCCACATTAAACAATTTTGTGTCGGAGAGCATTTGTCATAATTTTTAAATATTTATAACATATGATGGTTGCCATTGTGTTAGTTTGCAAAATGTTGTTGTTTTTTGTTTGTTTTATTCGTTTCCACACTTAATGCATTAATCTCAAGGTTAGCTGTACTAATGTTTTACACAATGGAGGAAAACAAAACAAACGCAATTGAATTTGACAAACTTCACAGGTTTTTTTTTTTTTTTTTTTTGTAAAACTGGTTCAGTTACGGCAGCTCAAAAGATATTTTTAGAAGGCATTTTTCATTAATAATTTTCCTCAAAAAAAAAGACGCATAATGTATGATGCGTACATTAATAAAAAAAATAATGCTGGCAGTTTGAGTAACAGGTGTTCTGGTTTTTGCTTGCTACCGCCACAAGAAGAACACATTTTGCCGATGTAGTGTGAAATCCTATTGTTTGAAATAAAAATCTACTTTATGTGGGTGTTTCATGAGTTGTAAATTTTTTTTTCTGTTTTTCATCACCTAGGGTTATGAAAATTCAAATCATAAGCTGTTGTGCTGACATTCTGTAATGTTTGTTGTTATATTTGTTTTATAAACATGTTTGTATGAATTTGTATAAATTAGTACCCACATTGCTTTTATTGCAACAACTGCTGGCATATGCCTTCAAATTATAGGCTCGATGGGGGTGTCTGTTCAAGTTGGTAAACCAAATTTGGCATAGACGCTGTAATGTATTCATAAAGGCTTAAATGAATTCTTAATTATGTCATGTTATATGTTTTGTGTGCAATTATGACGATGGTTCAGTAAAAATAATAATTAGACACAAAAATTGCTTAGGTAAAACAAAAGACTTAAGACACAAGCGCAATGATGAGCATGACTAAACCAATGGTAATATCACTCTTTGAACATTTTTAACGTTTATAATGTGGTTTTAGTTTCTAAAACCATTTTTGTAATTGACACATGAATAATTCTAATTTATGAAAATTTAAAACAACCAAAACTTGTAACAAACAAAAGACTTAAGACACAAGAACAAATTCTCTCAGAAAAAAAATATTTTTATAAAAAAAGTATGGTTTGGTAAATAATAATTAGACACGAAAATTTGTTAAGCAAACCTAAAAGCACTGTGACGAACATTGAAAAGAATTTACGAAATTAAATTATTTGATGTTCGCTGTCTGGAATTCACACATATGTTATTTATTGGAATATCATTTTAAAAACAAAAGACTTAAGACACAAGCGTTATGATGTGGATGGTAATACTGTTACTCTGAATATTATATATTTTCATATGATATATATAGTCTCTAGAACCATTTCTGTAATTGACACACAAATAATTCAATTTTATAAAAATTAACAATTAAAAATTGAAAAAAAAAAAAAAAAACAAAAAAAAATACTTAAGACACAAACACAAATTGTATGACCACATTGGGGTTGAATTTATCCATGGAGTAAAATATGTAAAATTAAGCAGGAGTTCATCTAAGCTTCTATAATCAACGTTTACACCAATGAATATTTATACCTTACACCACATAGTGGTAGGGGTATTATGTCTTTGTGCATTTGTTTGTAACATGGCGAAGAAAGCGAGATAGACTCATATTTACTTTTGGGCATCTCCATAGAATAACATTCTGAGTTGATTGATGCATGTCAGTTTATCTGTCCATATATTCTTGTGAACAAAATGCAGGTCGCATTTATTATCCGATTGAGATGAAATTTTCCAAACAACATTTGTTTGGAACAAGGACGAACCCTATTGAAATTGGAGATAATCGGTAAACAATTAGATATAGCTATAGATGTGCACCAAACGTGTAATATAAGCCCGAATAGTATGGAATTTTGCACATACAACCAAATTAGGCCTGAAAATAATTTGATCGAAATCGGTTCAGATATAGCTATAGCTCCCATATATATAGATCATCCGATTTTTTATTTTTGTCCTCCGCAGCCGTAATATGCACTCTGTAACAACAATATTTGGGGAAATATATCAAATATAGCTCAGAAATACCTTTCCTAAATTTTATCGAGATCGGTTCAGATTTGGATATAGCTCCTATATATAACTTCGTCCGATTTACCTTTTATTGTGCACCAAACGTCTAATATTTGCCCAACTAGGATGGAATTTGGCACTTGCCACCGAAGCTAGCATGCCAAATTTGGTGAAGATTGGTTCAGATATAGCTATAGGTCCCATATATATTGTTCATCCGATTTGTTGTATTTGTTACCCACTGCCATTATATGCACTCCGTAACAACCATATTCTGGGAAATATATACAGCACAGAAATATCTTTGCTAAATTTTATCGAGATCGGTTCAGATTTGGATACAGCTCCCATATATATCTTTATCTGATTTCAAATTAATTTCGCACCAAATGGGCAATACAAGTCCGAATTTAAATGATTCAAATGCTACGGCATATTTACTCCATTGAACTTTAAATATTAAT